GTATTAATGTGCACATCTTGTCCTTTGACCTTGATTCATGCTGTCTCTCCAGTTCATTCTTGTCATAATCTCTTATTGCTACTTAAAATTTCCTCCACATATCAAGGTTCATTTGTAACATTCACTCTAAACTAAAGATGGAAGGCTGCCCTTCTAGAACATGTTCAGCCTTCCTCTAAACTCCTACTTCACCCTGTTCTGCCTTCAGTGGACATACATCTCCTGGTGTCTCTTAGAGTATTCTATGGCTGTGACATGAAAGCCCTTCAAGGGAGGGATTTTTCTTCTCTTTTCATTCCTGTGCTCCTCTCCACAGACATCCCTATAACAGTGAATGATGAATATTACAAGTTCAGTAAGCATTTCTGAGACCAAAAGTCAATAAAATTTGTGTGAGGTTCCTCTCATAATGTTGACACATGTCAATCAGTCCTTGCATGTGAGCAATTACTCTCCTCATAAATAAGTCCTCCTCATAAATAAATTATTCCATCTGCTTTTGTATATTAATACAATACACAAACATTTGAATATTTAAGGTATTGCTTTAAAAGGTTCTTGATAAACTATCCAGATTTGGCATTTATGTTAATATCCTGTAGGAAATCTCATTACATATTCAAGATGTGCTTACCTTACAATTTCACATAAACACATTTTCTGGTCTTTGGTCTAAAGACAACACATATCCTATCATGAAGATATGATACAGAAAATCCAATAAATTGTTGTTTCTGTGAATCTATGAGCAAAGATTGAAATGGATGTCTATGTAGAACTCAAAGTTCTTGATACCCCATAAATAAATTTATACATGACCTTGGGGAAAGGGAGAATCATGTGAAATAATGGTTCTGTGTGTTTAATAGGTCATATATATAGGTCATTGTCCCATCTGTATCCCAGAAACTTCCAGTACAATTAGTTAAATGTGGTAGATGTAGGCTATCTACAGGGTTGATCTTAATGGTGTTTAGTGGTGTTCTAGTCTATTAGTATCATTTTGGGGATAGCCAGTTCCGTAATCCATCATCCTTAATTTCCAGTAGAGAACTCTTTATTTTACCTAAGGAAAGCATCATTCATTGATGACTTGCTAAATACAAGGAACTTCATATACACGACATCACATCTTTGAGGGGGGAATCTGTAGAAGACATAATACTTTCATGCTTCTAATGATAAACCTGAGCAGTAAAGAATTTAAATAACTCAGTCAAGGAAATGTGATGGGAGTTAACAAGAGAGTTAAGACTGGAACACAAATCCAGCTTTCTTCTAACACTACTTCCTTCCACACCACATTATCATTATTAAAAGCATAAAGAGCCCAATTGAGAAGTGATTGCATGTGTAGTGTGTGTGTGTGTCTGTATGTGTGCTAGAGAAAGCTAAAATACTTTTTCATTTTACTTAAAATAATATAAATGAAGTCAAAATAAAAAAGAGAATTATATCAAAATATTTCGCCAAATCATGTGATGACAACCAACCTCTTTATAAGATACGCTTTGTCAGTAGATAAGAAAAATGAGTCTATTCCTGATGAAAAGCAGACCTGCAGGAATGATGCAGGGCACCCTCCTTGAATTAACAGGTACGTATTCCACCTCTCACAGAAGATGAAGAGGTGAGTGGATGAGAGAGCAACCAAACCTCCTCTTATAGTGGAGTGTGATATGACAGGGGTATATAAAGTCTGTGCATTTCTTCAAGGAGATGGCGCCTTCAGCTCAGTGTGGACCTCAGAAATAAACTCAAAATGAAATTATTAACCACATAAATTAGAAAAACCTGAGTTTTTTCCTGTTATCCAAAAGCTCTCAAGGCCAGCAATTCTGGGGGTTTCAGAGCTGTACCCCATTCCTTCTGTGTCCCATTGGTACCCAGTTTCCTCTTGGCAACTTTTTGTTTTCTGGACCCTCAGTTTCTTCTTCTATGCAGCACCTACTGAAAATGATTAAGTGGGATGTTGAGTGTAAGGTACTTACCAGGTCCAGGAAGGGACTCAGGTAATTCACTAAAGTAGGGGGAAAATATGAACTCTTAGAACCTCCTGAAAGCCTACCAGGCTATAAGACTATATGATAACCACAGCATCAAAGCTCTCACAATGGAAAAATATAAATTAAAACTTCAATTACCAAATCATTTAACACTATTGCCAGTAAGAGTCAGGTGGTAAAATGAAATAGTCAAATTAACCACAGAATGAAACTATCTGCAAAGGAGATTTTAACTCCTGCCACCTACTTACCACCTACCAGGGATTTATAGATTAGTGAGTGTATCACTTTGAAATTCATTGGGATAAAAATATAAACACATACATACAGCACCAGGAACACATATATAGAAAAATATATTTTGTAACACTCTAAGGATTACTGTATAAATTTAGATCAGGGCACAGCATGCCTGAGATGAATAGGATAGAAACAATATGTTCTGATTACGACACCAAGCTCATGACAAATGATTCATATCCAGCACCTTTCATGTCAGAAGATTCCCCCCAGGTGTTCTACCAACTCTAGCAACAGTTTCCATCAAGCCAGAAGACTGCAGTACAGAGGAATCATATCAAACCCACAGATGAGGCACAACAGTCATGTCTCTATACAACTGCCTAAGTCCAACTGAGCTGAGGGGGCAGAAAAGAGATGGGAAGGAGGATGAGTGAACAATCCAGAATTCTTCACCAGTTTGACAAGCAGCCTATAATCATCAGACATTTGCAACTGAGTACAAGTGTTATTATAATCAGAAGCTCTTCTTAGCATAGGCTTCTAGCTAAAGGTGAGATAGACCTGGAGGATATGTGTTGAATGTATCCCTGAGTACTGCACATAAGATGTATGGGTAAGAATACCTAAGTATGAAAAGATAGGGATCCTCTAATTTTGCCCTCAGATTTAGATAAATGGTTTTCCCACTGTGGGGAAATGTGACAAAATTGAGAATTGGTGCACAGGAATTCACAGTCATAGTGCCCATTTGTAACTATCCTGGCATATCATCCTCCCTAATTAATGTGAGAGGTATTCTCCGCACCTTAGTTGAAACCTATACCCAGAGCATGAACAGCTTGCCATGGTAAACAATAGGCAGAACTGGAACTCACGTCTCCCCTCTTCTCTCATTTCACAACGTTGTCCAGAAGTTTCTTTCTATATCTCTTACCTTTACAAAACATCTAACTTTGCTTGTTTTGATGGTGTGTGCCTTTAATCCCAGCCCTTGGAAACCAGAGGCAGGCACATCTCTGTGAAACTGAGGTCAGCCTGGTCCACATAGCGACTTGCAGGTGGGCTGGATTTGGAAAACCATTACTTCTCTTTCTCTACCATACATATAAATATGTAAAAATGAAGAAAAAGAACTTGTGCAATGCACATAGCAAGGTCTGGGAAAGAAGTGAGAATGAGGCTGTGGAATAGCAGACTGTGGAGAGCAGAAATCTCATCTTAGTAGTTAATGCAATTTGAAGGTTCAAACCTTTAACACTCACCAACTAGATTATTTCCTACATTATTTTAGAAATATGTGCCTGTCCTAATCCCTGACCCGAATAAGCCCTAGTGGACTCACAAGCTCCATCTATTCAAAAAATATAAAAGCTGATGGTGCTTGGCGCCATTTCTTAAATGGAGGTTAAAAGTCTCCAAAGATGTATTTGCTTTCTTCTCTTTCCAAGATATTTCAAAATGAAATAAAGTAAAGGTCTAATGGGCAAGTGATATTTTATGTTTAAATTACATTAAAAGCCAGAAATATTTTGAGTCCAAGGATTTTACTTTACTTCTTAATATAACAAGATCTAACATATTTGATGTGTTCAAAATCTCCCTTTATAGCCAGAACTTTGAGTTAATCACTTAAAAGAGTATAAAAATTATTCTATCATCACAAGAAGATTCAAGTTCAAATTAAAGGATTAATTTTAGTAGCTCTAGTAAAAAAGATGTGATAGTTAAGACATGCCATAAGGACAAGGGTGTTCAGAACTTAAGAACTTAAGAGAAAGAATTTCAGCTGCAATTATTTGATTAAACCATTCCTGAGAACTATATCAAACCACAGGCAGGAAAGCTGTGTTGTAGAGAAACTCAGCTGTAGCCCCAGGACAGATTTATTTATACAACATAAGACAGATCATGTTTTTTGTTTGTTTTTTTTTTTTTTTCAATACCTGAAACACATGGAATCCCTTCCCTGACCCAGCAATCGCTTTCCCGCCTTCGTAAAGGAAGCATCAAATCTTTATTGAGGAGGTCAGTCAGTGAGAACAGGGAGTTGTTGTCACTGAGATGTATCTGATTTTCCTGAGACTGACCATGTCTGAGAACAACTGCTCTTTCATGGGCTCTCAAAACGCAGTCTCTAATGCTGTCAGAAGATGCTGGAGAGTTCCTGCAATGAAACTTGCCTCCACTTGGTCCCCAAACAGAGACCAAATACTAAAGGGCACCTTAAATTCCACTGCAGTTCTCCTCACAGTGTGGAAAAAGGGGCTAGGAGCGCTGCATATAAATAACGAGTCTCTCTCTCTCTCTCTCTCTCTCTCTCTCTCTCTCTCTCTCTCTCTCTCTCTCCACATATTCTCTTGATCACTAGTACATAAGAGTACCAAGTTGGGGAAAGTGACTTAAGGGACATTCGTGGGCCTGGAAATTTAACCCTTCCAGCTCTGCCTTAAGAATACTTTAAACCCTGTGCTTGGTCTTCATTTCCATCCTCAGATGCCACCAAGCAGGAAAGAGTGTCTGCTTGATTAATTCTAGTCTGAACCTTTGGGAATTTTAGAGGACTCTGATGGGGGGGGGGTTCCCTAGTAGGTAATGTTAGCTCCTGAGGGAGCGTGGGGAGAAAGGATTTGAGTGAGCATCATCTCTTAAGTCTTGAAACCTCTTGCCCTCAAATTCTCCACCGGATCCCACAGTGGACTGTGACCTTTTTCCCTTCGCTCACCCCTTGGCCCTCAGTTCCATTCTACTCACGCTGCTGTTGTGGCCAGACCAGTGGACCATGGCTTGGTTGTGTGCTGAGTCTCCTGTCAGTGCAAACGTGGTGCTGGTCAGTCTCAGCTCCTCCATCCGGAAGCGGGTGGCTTTGTCCGGGTCCCGCTCTGGAGTCCCGGGCTCCAGCTGCCCTGAGTCCCTTAGCACTCCCCTAGGGCTCCGACTGGCACCCTCACCCCTTTCAGTCTTCACGGGATCCGCTCTGCTCCGTCTCCTTCGGCCTGAGCGTGCAGCTGCTGCCAGGGACGCCCGGGTGCCCCCGGCTCGCTCCAGGGACAGCGCCCGGTCCCCGGAGGCCACTGCAAACAGGGGAAGCGAAAGGGGCAGAGGCGTGGCCGGAGCGCGACCCGGCGGTCCCTGGTGAGGAAAGCCCCCTCGGGCCAAGGTCCAGCGTGGGGTCCAGCCCGGGTGCTGCAGGGGGCAGCAGGAGCCGCTGCTGCAAACGCGGGGGGCTAAGAGGACCAGAAGCCCGGTGCCGGCCAAGACAGCGCTCAGCCGGGCCGGGAAGCCGCTGCCGGCGCCAACTTTTCCCATCACGGGAGCTGAGAGGAGCGGAGCGAGGGTCCGGGAATGAAGGCGGGCGGCGGCGCGGGGCTCCGGACCGGCGGCTGCGGGGCGGGCGCTCAGGACCCTAACTCCATCCAAGTTGGGGTGCGGTGAGGCGTGCGGAGGCGACGCCGGCCGGGCAGGTGGCGGCCACTCGCTGGGGCTGGGCTTGTGCGGAGCGCTCGGGTTGGGACGGAGGAGCCAGCCGCCGCCACGCGGGGGTGGAGCCGAACTGAAGTCACAGGCAGAGCAGGCGCTGGCGCGCTGGCGGGCGACGAGGGAGGGAGGGTGGGAGCTGCCGGGGCTCAGGGCGCCGGGAGCTGCGCTGCGCACCGGGGCTGTGGGCACAAGATGCTCCAGGCGCAGAATGCTCCGGGGCGCAGGATGCTCCTGGCGCAGGATGCTCCGGGGCGCAGGATGCTCCTGGCGCAGGATGCTCTGTGGGCGCTGGATACTCTGTAGGCGCAGAACGCTTTGTAGGCGCAGGGTGCTCCGCCGCCTACCCTCCCTTAGGCTTTGGGGAGTCCCTGTGAGGAGCCCTAGCAGCCTTCCGCTGGGGTCGGCGGACTCGGGGCTCCCTGAGCAGGCGCTGGGTAGGGTTTCCTATTCCTGTTTTCTTGTTTCTGTCCGTCTCTGTTCCTATTTCCCCTTTTCTTTCTCTTTCTGGTTTTTCCAGTTTAAAATGTAGAGACGGGTGGCTTCTGAATCACTCACTCCCTCTCCTATGCGGTGTGAGTTGGCATTTAGTCCTTACTCTGAGCAGAGCTTCTGCGTCCTGGCCTGGGGGAGATCCCAGAAAGGCGGCAGAGAGAGTGATCTACTTAACTGATCTGATCTGATCCTGTGTGTGTGTGTGTGTGTGTGTGTGTGTGTGTGTGTGTGTGTGTTCGCTCTCCGTATAGTTTGGGAGTTTTTCCCGTCCGTATTCCCTTTTAGATTCGTTTGCGACCTCCTTTAGCACTCTCTGTCTTTTAAAGCAGGCACATTTGAGAACACACTCTAAAGCTAGGTCGCCCGATCTTCGCTTCCTTAGGAAAATGGCAAACTCTTCAAGCACGGGACTGCAAACTGAACAACTTGGAAGAGGCGAACCATTTATTCAGTTTGTCATTTTATCCTCGGTGCTTGGCATGGTACTGCAGACGATGGGAACTCTGTTGGTCTTTAACTTAATACACCTGTATTTTGAGTCTATTATAGGCCCATATAGCCAGGGAAAAGGGGGATCCTAGGTCACCCGTGTCCAACCCAGTGCTGCTAACCTATGTCTTCTGATCCCAGGAGATGCTGAGTATTGGACACTGTCACTAGCTTGTTGGGATCTCAGGCGATCACCATCTCTGTGTTTCCTACATGTTAAATGAAGTGGTTGTATTAAATGACCTTTAAAATACCTTCCACTCCTAAAATTCTATAGTTGTGTGATTATAATATCAAACTCCCCTGCTACTGTTCAGATGCAATTTATAGTAGGTCAATGGGCTTTGAAAAATACAAAGAATTTCTCAAAATTCAAACCTTTGGTCTCTAAGGCTTGAAATGCCTTCAAATCTCTTTGCAGACTTCTTGCATCAGACAACATCCTCCTATACACGCGGTAATTATAAAACTATTTTAAGAAAATTTATTGATCAAATAAGCAGATGAGATAAATGACTACTAATTCCAGTTTATAATTTCATTTTTGTTCATTTTCACACTTAGAATCTTCATTTTACTCTATCTGAATTCTAAGTTTGTGATGAGACCCACTTGAAAGTAATACAGACTAATAATTACTCTTCAATTAATGAAACCCTTTCTAATGATGCCCAAGAGGAATTTTTATGATAAAAATTTATTCCAGGGAAGTCTTATCAAATGATGGCTCTTAACAGCTCATGAGTATAGTCCCAATATTTGGGAGGCTAAGGTTCTTGATAGGAATAGTGTAGAGGCAGAGGGATGACATCTCAGATGTTAGAGTACCCAAAAGAGTCCTCTTACTATTAAAGGACACAGATGGATTCTTCATCCAAAAGCACCATCTATATACAACTATGGATCCTCCTGAACCAGGAACATGGTCTGGCCGGCTGTGGCTTCTACATGGCAAAATAATCAGCAGTCTTTTCCCCTCCATAGGTTGAATATTCCCTTTGTTAAAACCCAAAGTAGTCTCGTTCCTTCCCTCATAAAGGCTTTTAAAGCATTACAGGGTCATTTTTTAATGCCATCTTTCCCTACCCTGTTAATCTCCTTTCCAATCTGAATAAATATGTGGGAGTTCCTCCAAGAAAGAAAGAAGAAAAAAAGATTAAAAAAACAGAACCCAAACAAATTCCCATCCAAATAGAAGACTGGAAATGGCAAAATGGGAAATAAGAAATTAAGTTGGGGTTTTCTGGCCTCATTCTATTATTGTTGCACCAAAATTTTAGCTGTAAAGCAAATCTCTTCCGGAAAAAAAAAAAATGGTGCTGTAGAGTAGTGTAGTCTTTCTATCATCCCTGGCACCTTCAAAACCAGGAATGGAGAGCTGGGGAGCACCATGTGTTTGAGGCAAGCCTGGGCTACATAATGAGTTCCAGGCCAGCTTTGGATACAGGGTGAAACTTTGTCTCAGAAAATTTCCCCAAATAGTAATAGTAACAAGAAAAGGTAGTGGGGGTCCCCAAGAATGATCCCTGCAGCCTGTAAGCACTGCAGTCCAGGGTTGAGAACTCATAGAGGACAGGCATAATTTTAATACCTGATTTTAATTATCCATTTGGGAAGATAAAATTACACACATGTGCAGCTGGGGAGAGGTCTCAGCACTGGTTAAGAGCACTGGCTGTTCTCGCACAGGACCCAGGTTCAGTTACTAGTAAACAACTGTCTGAATTCAGTTTCAGGGGAACTGATTCCCTCTCCTTACCTCTATGGTATTGCATGCGCATGGCATGATTTCACACATGCAGGCAAAATACATACATTCATAAAATAACAAATAAGTTACACAAATGTGTATAAAATTGACTCATAATAATGGTGTGGGTGTATGTGTGTACATTTTATTTTCTTTCTGACATTTGTCAACAAATAGAGAAAGTACTACAATTTCCTAATCCATTCTTTCCTCTTTGTTGGGAGACTACAGCAAAATGCTAGCCACGGGGAAATTCTAGTTACAGTATTTTCAGTTCAACAGTTTACCAATCAATGAGTTAGATATTATTATTCTTATTTTACATATGTTTATTTTATGCATGTGTGTGTGATTGTACATGGAAATACATGCCACATGAATCTGGAAGTCAAAGGACAGCTTTTTGAGAATGGGTTCTTTCCTTCTACTGTGTGGATCTCAGGGATCAAACTCAGATCGTCAGATTTAGTAGCAAGCACCTCTGTGTTGAGCCATCTCACTGGCTCCAACTAGTGTTATCATTATTATGATACTATGAGAATGCTATTAGAAAACCAATGTCACAGCTAGAAGAGATTAATTTCAATAATTATAAGGGTTTTTGAAAATTATGCATATGAATAATACATCATTGCTCATTCTAAATCACCATCACACTTTTCATCTGGACAAACATCACAGCCTCATTAACGCCCTCTCGCTTTAACAATTGTCATAGCTCATCCTTTATCTCCAACTGTTCTCGTCAGGTGTGGTTCAAATACCCACAAAATACCACATGTGCTGTGTGGGCAGAAAAGAAAATAATAGAACTTGGTCGTATATTAAATTTTAATTCAATTAACCAGTAAAATTTTGACTTGATAACATTAAATTATAGATTAACATGTATTTTTATATTCAAAGAAATGTGTATCTACAAGAACAGGAGAGCAGGAACAGAGAAAAACACAAACAAAGAATAAAGGCATTTGGGAGGTTCCATGTGCAAAAGTAGAAAGCTTTGGACAAGAAAGCTAGAGTGGACTTTTAAAGGTATATATATATTTTAAAACTCCTTTTTTGCTAAACTTTAATAGGGCTCATGAAGTTACCATGGCAAACAGAATACCCAGACTGCTTGTTGTAACTTGTCAGGTGCTTGTTTCTCGGGAGCATTTGGCAGCAGAGCTTTCGTTTTCACCCATATGCTCCAGCCCTTTGAGCTTTTCCTTCCCTCCAGTGTGCCAGGTTTCATCCAACTCATGACCATTGCTCCAGCTGCCAGAAATGTCCACCACCACTGCCACCTCTGCTCCACAAGGCCAACTCCTTTTCTTTGAGACCATCACATCTTTAGAGAGATCTCTCTGACCTCACCTGAGGAAGAAATTTCCTTCAGCTTTTCTGTGTGGATCACTTAATAGTTCCTGCTCTGTATCAATTATTTAATCTGATCGTGGGTTCTTAGTTTTTTTGCTGATAATACCCCCCCATAAGTTATATACAGATAAGGAGTACATCTTTCATAATCTGCTATTTCCTCAATGTCTCCCTCAGTGTGTAGCTCATTAATTGCTCAGTAAAGAATGACTGACTGGCTGGTGGCACTGTGTAGGAAGCAGGGGACACTGTGGGAATCAGATGTGTACTCTCTGTGAGAAGCTGGGCTGCAGATTTTAAATGTACCAATTCCTGTAGCTCCTGTCTGAACCTTCTCTCAGCTCAATATTACCATTTTCCCTGCATTGCAGATTATGTTAGACAACTATTACCCAGGGGCACATTGCCACTTAAAGCTTCAGGTAGGGCTTCTACCAGAGGCGTTCTTTCTAATGTATTAATTTCATGAAATTCTCTTTCAACTCTAAATATAACTAATCATAGATAACAATTATTGATAATTTACTATGGGTCAGGCACTCAGTAAATACTTCAAGTAGGCTTTAGTATTTTGAAAGGTCAATGTCGGTAAATGAGAACAAGGGTTATTTTTGGAGGGGAAAGAAAGGAGTGTATCTATACTCCATATCCACTTATGTGGGGGAAGTGATGATAAACAGAGTTCAATACTCATTGTTGCAAGGTTTCGCTGTGTAGCTCAGGTTGGCCTCAACCCAGGGATGCTCCTGCCTCCACCTCCCATGTGCTGGAATTAGGGACAAGTGTTTCCACCTCAATGATTACATTCTTTCCCTTTCCCTGAGTGGCTCCCTTTCTTGGCTTCAGCTTGCACTAACGTCACATTATATGCTCCATCACTAGAACAATGTCTTTTAATAGCTCCCAAATACTTGGCT